GACGGCTTGTGCTCGCTCAGGTCCCAACTTTCGTCGCTTCTGTTTGATCGGCTTGAAGGTTGGGTCGACGTTAAATTCGTGACTCATTATTCGGGGGCTAATGCCCTTCATGTCGGCTATGGACCACGCAAACGTTACGACGTTCTCTTGGAGGAAACTGATCAGCTCTTCCTGCATGCTAGGCAATAGTTCCCTGCCGATACCGACGCAACGTTCCGGGTGGGCAGCATCGATGTTGACTTGGGTGATAAGATCGCTCTTCGGCTGCTCGTCGTGATGAACGATCCGTGGGTTAAAGTCGCTACTACTACCGATCACAAACATTGATGCCTTTCGGACGCGCTTGTTGTCGATGTAACAATGTCGGAACACTGTCTGGTCGCCACGGATGGTGATGACACGACCCCTGATCGGCATCTTGATGCATTGATGGTAAGGATAAGGGACGGCTCGCATGGCGTTAAGCCATGGTGTTCCAAGGATAGCATTATAGATCGCAGGTCGGTCAATAACCTCGAATTTGACCGTAATTGACTTCCCGCGTATGGTGATAGGCATCGTTATAGTTCCTATTGTCGAAATCGAGTCTCCAGCGAATCCCGTGAGTGGTGATGGTGCGACTTTTATGTCCCGCTCGGGGATACTCATCTTGCGTAGAGTATCCATGAAGATGAGGTCGACCTAACTTCCAGTGTCGATCAACACTTTGGAGACGTCGTCCTCTCCGAGTCGTAGTGAGATGACGAGTGGATCGTTATGAGGTTGGTCGATGTCACGCGCGTCATGCTCTGTGAATGTGATCGATAGGTCGTCATTGAACAGTAGTGGTGCGTCCTTCGGGGGATTGGTTGCCTTCCGTTCGTGCTATTTAATTGAATTTATCGAGTCGGTGCACGAGAGGAGCCCTCCCATGATCATGTTGATCCACCGACGTGGTGAGCTTGGAGGTGTGTGATCGTCTTCACGGTCACGCTTTGCTTCCTTACCCTCGCGTTTAGAAGAGCGATCGGTGTTATCTATTCTGTCGCGATCGTCCTCGGGTCGCCTGTCCTCATCGTCGGATCGGCGTGAACTCCGGGGTTCTGGGAGGGTGATCTCGCCATCGTCCCACCTCTTCCTTAAGAGGGCTGGGAGGGTGCCGCAATCATCGGTATGATGACCGTGCGCCCTATGGTATTTGCACCATGGCTTTTTGCTGTCGGGGTGTCTGTCGCTCGAGCGGTCCCACACGTTCCATGACTTTTTTGGTCGTCCAACTGCGTTGATGCTCTTGCGATTCTTGTCGTCCTTGTCGTAGTGTAATCTTCCTGACTCGACGTTCTGCCTTTCTTGTCGCGCGAAGATTTCTCATCGGCCAACTTGGCCTTGGCCTTGGCTGCCCGATCCTCCTCGACTCTGATGTACCCGGATGCTTTGTGCAAAGCATCTTCGAGGGTTTTGGTTTTTCCTGTCTTCAATCATTCACAAAACTATGAATCATCCTTCAAATTCTTGATAAGAATGTTGAAACACAGTTTGTCCGACAGACTGCACTGGGAGACGATTGATCGGAATCGATCGATAAAATCGCGCAGCGGTTCCGTGTTGCCCTGGACGCATGCCCATAGATCGAGCGCTGTGGACTCCGTGTCGATGTAAATCGAATAATGCTTCAGGAACCGAGCTGTGAGCTCCTTGAAGTTGTCGATGGAGTTCTTGGGAAGCTGTGAGAACCAGGTGAGGGCGTTTCCGGAGAGCGTCTCCACGAAGTACTGATAAAGGCATGCTTCCCGCTCCTCGTCGGTGAAGCGAGCGCGTCCCATGACTGCGTTGAATGCGGTCAGATGTCGCTTCGGGTCTGTCGTGCCAGAGTAACTCGGAGGTAGCTTCATCCGACCTATGTCCTTAAGAGGAGCATTGGTGATAGCCGACGTGAACGGGGTTTGCTGCGTCTCCTGAAGGATCTTATCCAACTCGGGAGCTGAAGTCGTCGCCTTGTGGATCTTGCTGTGGATATCATCGAGGCGTTGGTGGAGAAGATCGAGTTCTGAGGTTGTCGTCGGGTCGGTTCTGGCGGTATTTCGAGATGAGCGAGCATGCGAGCCTTCTGCCTGTGCTCTCCGTAAATCGTTCGTCGGTGTCGTGCCAAACAGGTTGTTGACCAGCCTGGTCGTATCTGTGTTGCGGATCGAAGGGCGAGGGGGAGTGATAAGATCGGCCTGCTCTTGGGTATGAACCCTAGAGTTTATAAGCCGATCCAAGTCTTCTCTGTAAGCTATCTGCTCGGCTCGGAGGGACTCGAAGCGAGCATCCATCCCCTGTTACAACTGTGCTGCAACCGACCTGATGATTGTGGCCATGTCGATGGGAGGTGGCTGTGGCAGGCTGGTTGTGTTTGTGCCACCCGTCTGACCGACCTGGTCTGTTCCCCTGGTGTTCTGTGCGGTAGTTGTGTTGTCTTCCTGATCGGTCTGGTGGGCCACCGGAAGCCCTATGGCTGGGTCGACGATCAGATCTTGAATGTTTCTTGTCGGATCGGAGGCTCCTCCGGTGAGGTCGGTAGTGTTGATCGGTGTTTCAACCATCTTCGAACTCCTGTTCTAAGTCAAAAATTGCTCTTTTATTCCCCTCAGACGGCGCCAACTGTAAAAACTCAAGTCCGACTTATAGAAGAACTAGGGTTTGAGGGTTTTAAAGAGATCTTTTATTAGAAGAAGCCGGAGCTTGGTTGAATACAACGGTGTTTTAGGTCGTCGGAAGAAGAACGCCGACCTAAAACTGTTTAAGGAAGTAAATTGAGAACTAGAACAGTCTGATCGCTAAGTTTTGCTCTAGGTCGATTGATTATTTTTGGATGGATTGAGAAGTCGAGGACTTCCTATATTTATAGCCGATCAGATCGGTCTTCAACCTGTTCGGAATAGGAAACTCTTGTCGGTAAGGAGTTTCCTTTTTCGCTGGGTCGCTTGATAAATGGAAGCTTTCCTTTTATGTTGCCGACCTGGAACTTGTTAGATGGCCGACTAGAATTCATATCGAACTTGTTAGAGACAGTACGAATCTCATCTCTAATAGTGACCAAATATATGTAATTTTCTTAAAACTCAACTTAATGCACCCACTTCGAAATAATATTATTCTCTTTGGTGTATTGGTTCTTAGACAAGGAAATGCAAAATACGTTGGGGGTAGCAAGGGACAAGATCACCAAACCAAAGAACGATTAAGGGTTAGGTCTACGAGATCTAAGGGACTTCAATTTAGCTATTGTTCTGTTCTGTGTCTTGAGATGTTGTATGTTTCATATTAATGGATGAAAGTAAATTATTGACTCTTTACATTTTCTCTAACTCAGATTGCTCCTTTTTGCTCACTCAACAGTTTATGATCAGAGTAGGATAATTTAAGTATTTTAGGTGGATGTAACTATTGTTCTGTTCTATGTATTGAGATGTTGTTTGTTTCATATTAATGGATGAAATATCTATCTGTTCTTATCAAATTCCAAAATTTAATTTCTCCCCATTACACATATATCTTCTTCTAGTTGCATGCGGCTTTCCATCAATCAGTGCGGTCCTTGTCTAGAAGGAGACCAGATTCCATCGATCAATGCGGTTCTTGTACTAGCTTCCTTTAGAACTGAATTTTATCCGCATTGAAAATACAGATTCCTTAAGAACTGAATTTTACCCGCTATCAATTTTCTGCATTCTTCCCGCCAATGTTACATTTCGGACCCGATGGATCAAAACAGAGAAAGAGAGAATCAATCGCAGAGAAGCCATGAAGATGAGTGGATGGTTAAACAAACCTGTGAGGCGGTATCACTGTTAAATTCATCAAGAACCTAATTAACGGTAAAAAAAAAAGCGTAGGTTTAACAACCATTCAAACCTAGAATTCCTTGTGTGGTTTCACCCACACGTCACCATCGTCTGACCATGTATTTGTTCTTATCAAATCCCGAGTTTTCATTTCCTAACCATTACATGTATCTTCTTGTAGTTTCATGCACGTGGCGCTCTTTGATAAAGAACCAGAAACGATTCTCCATTTATCCACTCTCTGCATCAAAATGTAGAATTCTATAGATTTCTTTTCTTAACTAGTCGTAAACTCAGACCAGTATCCAATATTATCCTTTTGCATCAACATGTTACCGTCTGTGACATTTAGATTTTTTATTTGATTTTTTGAAAAAAAAAATATTTTTGGTACACGGATCCAAATATTAACCGAACTTTGTTCTAGTTTACCTTAAGTTTAGTTTTAAAAAGGGAAGGGTCACAAATCGACTATTTTCAGTTACATGAACAAAATCAGTGAAATAAGATTTAGTATAATGAAAAGAAGTCTCGTCTAGCTAGCATCAAACACCAACAGCTAAAAATTTCCTAGGGTAAAAGTTCTCAGAAAACACAATTTTGTCTGAACTACTTAACTTTATCCCAAATCTCCCCCTATGATGCACGGAGACGTCATTTAGGTGCCGTTTCCCGTACCCGTAATGTTTCAGAGACGGGGACTTGTCAGGGACGGCTCGGAAACGTTTCCTAAACGTTTCTTAAAAAGTTTCTCTAATGTTTTTTTTTTACAAGTTAAAAAGTAAATTAAGAGAGAAAAAAAGAAAAATTAGATTAAACTAGGATTTTAACTTAAATTTTTAATGACAATTATCTCTTCTCACGTTCCCTTTGTTCATCTCTGATCTCTCCTAAGCATTTTCTAAGTTCGACTTTCAAGCAATTCAATTACTTGCTTTGTTCATTTCTTTTAAGTATTTTTTTACCTTAAGATTTATGATTTGACTTTCTTATATTTTAAATTTATGAATATTTTTATAGACGTATCTATGCCGTACCCGTATCTACAAATTTTTTAGTTTTTCCGTTTCCCGTCCCGGTCCCCGTTTCCGTTCCCGTATTCGTCTCAGTGCACCCCTCCTTGACGCCTTTCCAGCAACATCTCTCTTGATTTTCCATCTCCTTTAAGAAACAAAGCCATTCTCCCACCGTAACTCACAATGTTAATGTGTCGATATTCTTTCTTCTTCAACAATTTTTCCACACATTTCACCACTCCCCAACACCTCTGCTTTGGATCATACCTCTGCTTTGGATCATACCTACTAAACTCAATACAATCGTAGTAGTACAATACGTCATCGATGACACACGCATTGTACCACTTCTGTAAATTCAAAATCTCGTCGGTTTCCCATTTATTTTCCTTTGGATCGTAAGCAAAGCTGTTATCGGAATCCCTCGTGTACAGCTTACCAGCCATCACCACACAGCCATAATACGTGTTACCTAGCTCGATGTCTAGCCTTTTCATCGCAGGCTTCTCCCACGTTTGTGTTTCTGTATTGAACACCACCACCGCCTTCTTCCTTTGATAATAATGGCAATCTCCAATTACGTAGATTCTCCCGTCGATGATGTCAGCGATTGGAAGACCAGACATGAGAACAGGCAGGCTCGGGAGAGGTTGCGCCGTGTGAGATCTACAATCGATGGTTAGCGCACTCGTTGTCCTATTGACATTGTTAGTCCTACCGAACACATATATCGTTGATCCCACTACGACAAAGATTCCTAAAGGAATAACGGGAAGCCCAGGTATAGGGACCAAGCAGCTATTTCTGTTGGCTTTCCGGCGGAGAATATAGAAATGGCCACCACTCTGGTAGCTGTTGTAGCGGACATCATAGAGACAGAGTTCGGTGCAGCCCAACAAAGATCGCCTCGCGGGGACGCAACGAGTGATCGGAAGTGCTTTGAGACGATGGAGAGGATTGGATAGTCGAATCTTGATACACGCGCTATGATGTCAAGGATGGCGTCTTCGGGAAGTGACGTCATCATTGGAGACGGTGGTTCTGAGAGAGAGTCACTAAACCCTAAATTCACTTCTAGAATAATTAAGAATAGATGATTGAGTTTCAGAGAGTTTTCCGATCTCTGGCTAGGTTTCGTTTTTTTCTTTTGGTAAAGGCCTCCTCCTAATCTTATTATATCTAGCGATGTTAATATGAGCGGCCCAGACCCCGTTTAGTCTCATTCCATTAACTCCCGTTGTTTAATTTTCTGACCCGTTTAGATCCTCCTCATTTAAAGTGGCCCAAACCCGTGTAGCCCATCTAAAATCCAATACATTTTTGCTGTTTTTCTATAACAAAAAGAGCTATCTTTTATTCTCAAAAAACAGTAACACTTACATTCAAATCTTAATCACTTTTTGCGTTCAAAAACTGGCTCTCTCTCTCTCTCTTCTCTCTCTCGTATATTTCAGAGAGAAAGAGCAATGGTTTGTTTTTGTCTTGATTTCCGTAGATCCGATCTGGTTCTCCATTCTCCCAGATTTCTTTGTTTCTATGTCTTTCGATCCTTTTCGGAAATTAACTTTCGGCTTTGTCCCACTTTTGTTTCAGTTTATAGGAATATCCCTTTTGCATGTTTTCATTTTTATCCCAGACAAATTTGAAGAAATCCTCTCCGTTAAATATGTTGGATTTTCTCCCAAAAGAGTAAATCTTTCACTTTTATGTTGATAGATCTCGGAGATCATGAAGTGGAGCTTTCTTTTAGAGGAGTAGAATCGAGAGTTTGGGGGTTAACTTGGTGATTTCGGTGCAGGATCTGTAGAGCTGGCGCTTCTCAGACATAGTTCTCAGCAGTGTTTAAACGAATATTTTGCTCCTTTCATCTCTAGTTACTTTGCTCTGATCTCTAACGGATCTAAAAGAAGTTTTAACAGTCCTCCTCAATTGTGAACACATGTCTAATGTCTTTAAGGGAACGTAAGAGTTTGTGCCAACTCCATTACCAAGATTTGTCAGCGCCTTCGTCGAACTTACCAGACCCAACAACCCGAAAATCAAGAAGCTTAACGAAGAAAGAGAGTCAACATGCAATTCTGCCTCTCATCATGCATGTATGTATTCCAATCATGTATTACAAAAATATCACCCAACGCGTAAAGCATCTCTTGTGGAAACAGGAAACATAAAACAGATAAGAAGATTAACTCATGCATGGTAGTGAGGAAGAAGGGTAAGTTCTTATTACACCATCTTATAGACATATATAATTAAGCATGTAGTAAACATGAAAATTACTTAAATAACTCTCCAAATATTACTTAAAAAATCTACGGCCAACAGATAGTCTAAACATTATGGAAAGAAAATAGACAACATTCCCCTTCAGTTAAAGAAAAAGTTAAAAAAAGAGAATCAGAACACAAGTTACATGAAAGAGAGTTCTTTGCATCAAACCATAACAACTATAGGTTTCATCAAGACAATATTCACAGTGAAAACAAATCACAAGTCATATGAAGGAGAGTTCTTGCATCAAACCATTACAGCTAAAGAAAAAACAAAACAGAAAGTATTTGAAGCAGAGTTTTTGAATCAAACAATTACAACTATAGGTTTCATCGAGATAAAATCCCCAGTGAAAACAATATCATACCACTCAACTTGACCCCAAATCTCTCCTCCTTGGCGTCTTTCCAGCAATATCTCTGCACACCAAATCTCACGTCTGTCTTCTTCTTCTCCTTTATGGAAAAGAAAAACCAGTCTCCCACCGTAACTCACAGTCTTTGACCACCCTACAGGTATGGTCTCAGCCAACAAATTTTCCAAACCATTCACCACTCCCCAGCACCTCTTCTTTGGATCATACGTTTTTATACTCTTCTCATCGCAATCGAAGTAGTACAATACGTCATCGATGACACACCCATTGTACAACTCCTTTAAATTCAGCATCCCATCTCTTTCCCATTTATTTTCCTTTGGATCGTAAACAAAGCTGTTATCGGAATCCATCGTGTACATCTTACCAGCCATCACCACACAGCCATAGTAATACGTGTTACCAAGCTTAATGTCTATCTTTTTCATCGCAGGCTCCTCCCACTTTTGTGTTTTTGTATTGAACACCACCATCGCCTTCTTCCTGGGATGAGTATCGTGATTTCCGATTACGTAGATTCTCCCGGCGATGATGCCAGCGATTGTATGAGACAAGGGCACAAGCATGCTCGGGAGAGGTTGCATCGTGTGAGATCCACAATCGATGGTTAGCGCACTCCTTGTGTGATTTTTAATCCCACTAAACACATATATCCTCGAACCCACCGTGACAAAGCTCGCATATATAGGCACAGCAGGAAGCCAAGGGATAAGGACCAAGCGGCCACTGCCATTGGCTTTCCGGCGGAGAATATACAATCGGCGATCACAGGTTTCAGTAGTATAGAGGGAAACATAGAGACAGTGTTCGGTGCAGCCCAACAAAGACCGCCTCGAGTGATCGAAATTGCTTAGAAACGAGGGAGAGTGTTGGATAGTGGCAACTCGGTACACGCGCTAAGATGTCAAGGGTGACGTCTTCGGGAAGTGACGTCATTAGACACGGTGGTTGTGAGTATTTCTCCTTCTTTTCTGCCCTAGTTTCGGAAGACATCGTGTAGATTCTGATCACGTCACCGAGAGAATATCAAAGCCTTACTTGCAGGCTTAAATTTTCTAATTCATAGATTGAATGAGAACGCTACCGTTTTAATTTTCCTTTTTTTTTTTCTTATATATAGTTAACCTTTTTTGTAAATTCCTATTTTATTTAATGAAAGAAAAAAAGAAAATTTTGGGACAAATAAAAAAAAGAGGAAATAAAGAAGCAAGCTCAAAATTCAAATAAGTTTAGACGAAAGGAATAAAAGAAATTGCAAAAACAAATCTAGGGTGAGTTGGGGATTGATAGACATCTACGTGGTAAAAAAATAATTATTCTAAAACGTAATTTCCTCTCTTGTGAGTTGTGAGAGGTCCAAAAAACCAAATGTATAGCGTATAATTTATGTTCTATATACATTTTATTTAAAATATATAATATTTATATACTATTTAAATATTATATATATATATATATATATATATATATATATATGAAACGATTGGTTAGTTAATTAGAGAGGACCAACCAAAAAGTCACTTGTTAGGTAAATTATTTGGAGAACTAACAGGAAATGAAAGAGAAAAAATGGCTCAAATCAACAATGATCACTGAAAGAGAGAGCAACCCCTAATTTCGATTTTGCTAACCTACAAGTATCAAACCATCGAAATTTGTTAGTTTGAATATTAAATAGAAATACTTTAATAGGTCATGTATTATTTAGAAGAAAAAAAAAATTTCTCTGAAAGTTATTAATTGTTGGGGTGTGTTTTTAAATTTGTTCTTTTAAAGTATTATAAAATATTAAAATCCAATTCATTTCGAATTGATAAAATTCAGTTTGGTTTGAGTTTTATTGCCACTCCCTTTTCTCTATTTATCTGATACCCTAGGTCAATCTAGTCAGGCTTTCAGTATGTAATTGCATGAGAGAGAATATTGAAACAGAGAGTTTCTCACTATTTTAATCCATTGTGCTCATAACCGAAGAAAGACTGCAAATAAAAAAGGGGCTAAAACAAACAAACGTGGCGGAGGAATTCAACGTGCCAAACATTATGAATTCTCAAATGCGGCTATTTTCGTTTACATCAACGCAATTAGCAAATTAAGCAAACTCATATATGCATTTGGGTGAAATTTTAGAAACAAAGCACACAAGTTTTTTTTTTTGTTTGAACATAAGCGCACAAGTTATATCACAGACAACAATTCTTCCACACCTTTCACCACTCCTCAGCATTTCTGCAATGGATCATATGTTTTTAAACTCTTCTCAACATAATCAAAGTAGTACAATACATCGACGACACACGCATTCTTTGAACGTACACAAAGCTGTTATCATCATCCCTCGTCATACAGCTTACCAGCCATCACCACACAGCCACGCCGCGAGTAACCAAGCTCAATCTTGATACACGCGCTAAGATGTCAACGATGACGTCTTCGAGAAGTGACGTCATCATCAGAGACGGTGGTGCCGAGGATTGCTCCTCTCCTCTCCCCTAGGTCTCGAAGACTTCTCCAAATCACTTATATCACCCAATTTCAGAGAGAAAATCACTAAACCCTAATTCACTGCTAGAATAAGAACAGATGATTGAGTTTCAGAGAGTTCCGATCTCTGGCTAGGTATCGTTTTTGTTAAAGACCTCCTCCTCCTTCCTAATCTTATTATATCTAACGACTGGTATATGTTTTCCTTGCCGCGCAAGGTAGAGAGAGAGAGATTTAGGTCGGAGTTCGAAGAGTACAATGGATTTAGGTCGTTGGAAAAAAACGCCGACCTAAAATTTGGGAATAAAAAACCGAGATCTAAAGCTGCGAGCTATAAGCTATAGTTTGCCCTAGGTCTCAAGTTCAAAGTTGTGAATGAATGATCTTCGAGGGAGGGGGCTCTTTTTATATAGCTTTCGTAGACTGCCTTGAGAATAATCCTTCTCCTTCGAGATTAGGATAATTTCCTTTCTTCTCGGGGTCCTCTTTCCTTTTCTTCCGCGATTCGAATATATCTTCGGATATTTCCATATTTGAGCGCTGACCTAAACCCAGAAGCGGAGGTCGAGCTTCAAATGGGCCTTGTCTCAATTTATGAAGGGCTTTTAGCAAGGAGTGCTAAACCCATCACTAACAATTAGTCCCCCCCCCCCAGTTCGACGGTCTGAGTAGCAGGTTAGGAGAACATGAGAAAAAGTTAGCTCGGTATAAATTAAGATCGGGGCATTTCGAAGCACGGGGTGCTCGAAAGCTACGTCAATCTACACGAACTCTTGGTTGGTACTATTCAAGGACGGGATTTAAACCGTATCAGAGGTCAGGACCGCGTATATTAGACCGATTACATTGTAAATCGGGTTGCTAATAGCGAATAACAGGTCGGGCCTTATTTTAGGTCGGGTTCATAAACTGCTTTTCTTGAGCCGGAAACTCTTCGTCTTCTAGGACATGACACATGTCGACTTCTCGAATATACTTAAGCACGGGAAATACGAACCGTCACAATGATTATGGGTTTCTTGAAAACCATTTTTGATTTGATATAAAAAGGGGGTGAGGGTTTTCATTTCTTCACTTCTTCTTCTCGCGAAAATCTCCGAATCAGGTTCGCTCTCCCTTCTGTCTTCTTTCTCTCTCTAGAATTTTGTTCTGTAGATCTAGTAGTCCTAGGATAGATCGGGGCGTCTGTAGAAGACCGTACAGCCAGTAGAAGCCCGTACTATCGTTTATTTAGATCGGAATTATCTAAGCAAAGATGAATCGTCGCAAATCATCGAAAGGGAAGGAAGTGGTCTCCTCACCGGTTGAATCGGCGGGCAGTATTAGCTCGGGATCGGATAAGTCCGGGCGAATGTTTGCTCGAGCAATGGGAATAAATTATGAAGACATGATCAGGGATCAACAGAAACATACGGCGTTGTGATTCGAGGAAGGTCAGCTAGGAACCGTAGCTCGGGGGGACACAGGGCCGTCTTCGATACGAGTTCCTATCGAGGTACCCGATCTGAGAGACGAATCAGATGACGCCGGGAGTGCCACCAACGTGTCCGATCGGGATGACGGTGTTGAGGACAAAAGTGCCAATGCTTTGGCCGATCAAGACGAGGCCGAAGTAAAGGACGAGCATGTTAGTCTTGGCGCTTCAGAAGAGTCGTGGGAGAACGGGATTCTCGATAAATATACCCCAGCTTCGTTCAAGTATTTGAGGCTGTCCAAGAAAAATGCTCCGATGCCGGACAATGCCTTTGGCGTAATTCGGTCCCGTACTACATGGAAGTCGCTGACTCTGCTGAAAGAAGTGTGCAGGATCGGGCCCGAGGTCAAATTTATGGTCCCGAGTCCTGAGCAGAGGCCTTAGGATGCTCCGCCGGGCTACATCTGTCTATTCAAACATTTTTTTCTCTACGCTCATCTATGGTTCCCACTGCCCCAGATTCTTCTGGAATATTGTGCGAGGAGGGAAATGCCAATCTCGCAGACCACACATGCCTGCATTCGTCATGTGGTCAGTTTGACTGTCCTCGCTCAGGAGCACGGGCTGCCGTTTTCCACCGATATCTTCGAAGAGATGACCGATATTAAGCCTCAGGGTGGGAACACTCAGAACCGGGGTTCGTTCTATGTTAGTATGAAGAAGAAGCTGAACATAGTCACCGAGAAATCGTCGAAAAAGATCGACAACTGGCGGGACTGTTATTTCTTTGTGAAGATCGACGAGAATACCGTAGTTGATACGGACGTCCCGATCTTGACTAGATGGGCCGATGTGATCGGTAGCTAGCCGATTTTTAGCTGTAGAGTGCGTTTACTTAATCCCGTGCTGACATTAGTTTTTGTTTTGCAGCGATACCGGCAACTCCGATCAAGCCTCCTGCAAAAGATTTCTTCGTGCACAGGAACGCTTTTAAGAGATTAAGTCATGAGATTTGGCCGCAGTTTACCATCGAAAGAGTTTCAAGAGCAACAGGTAAATCGGTTAAATTGCGTCCCGTTCTTAAGGAATGTTCCCGGGCTAACGACTCTGCTGTCAGGTCATCTTCATCGAAAGCTAGAGAAGAAAATGCCGATTAAGCCAAGGAAGACGAGGGACTTTGCCAAAGAACTCGATGAGTCCCTGCTGGCTGCGAGTGGGAAAGATGTTGAGCAGAGGTCGGGTGAAACCCTTGCCTCGGATGCGAACAATCCGGTGGTCGACTCGACCCGGGCTAATGCTCTTCCGGCAGGGCTCCCGGACTCAGGAGCTGAGGTCCAGAGAGGTGTCGATACCATCCCTCATGCCGGAGGCGACGTTCAAGGTGCGGCCACTGCCAAGAATACTCTGAAGCGGAAGAGGGCCGAGAAGAAAAAGGCGAAGGCTGCTAAAGATGCGACCCGTGTCGAAGAGGGGTCCCACGCTAAGGTCGGCCCGGATGTTAATCCGACTAATGCCGAGTACCTCGAGACTAGGATAGCAGATAAGGATACCGTGCTCCCCGAACCGGTTGCTACGGAGCCCGTCGTTGAACCAACTGCCAAGAGGCAAAGGGCTAATTCTTGCCCGAGCAAGTATGCCTTCAACTTTGAGTACCGGGGCAAGGGGCCAATCCATATGGATGAGATGTCTATTGCTCGCCTTGCGTGGGAAATGAAGGGTCTGCCCCTCCCGTCTTGTAAGATGGATGAGCTGTTTTATAAGGACGACTTTGTCCGAATGGCTTCAGCACAAACCAGGGTAAGTTATTCCTTTTCTCTTCCATAGTTTTTCTTGTGCTGACAGTTGTTACCGTTCTGTTTCAGGCCGAGAATCTCTCTACTGCGGCAGTTGAGAGATACGACCGTGCTTTGAAAAGGAGCTTTGAAAAAGTGAAGAAGCTCGAAGCCGCTGTCGAGGCTAAGGAAGGGGAGCTAGCCGTTATGAAGGCCGAGGTCGACACCTGCGACATTCTTCTAAGATCCAAGGATGAAAGCATCCAGTCCCTTACTGCCGAGTTGGCTACGGTCTTGAGGAAGTTCGAGGCTGAGAGGGAGCTCCTTAACAAAACCCATTAGGCGTCTCACGTCCGATCATCGGTGTCTTCCCATTATGTCAAGCTAATCCGGAAGACGCGGGCGTATATAGGCCAACGCGAGGAGATAGACACGAACGTGACTTCCCGCGCTCAGCTGGGAGGATAACTTGATGCTATCAAGGTTTTTGAGCGGAACGGTTTTAAATGTCCGCCATCGGTGATTGAGAAGATAGAATCCGACCTTGAAGGATTGAAGGCGGAGGCCGAGCTATATGACGAGATTGAGCTTACGGAGGACGATTTCGAAGTGCCCGACCAAGCGTTGGTGTTTCCGCGGGATTATCCTTCGGTTGTTCTTCTCGGAGATGAGCATGGATCGAACAGAGGAAGGCTAACTCTGGAGGTTATCGAGCAGCTTAAAGACGTACCCGTTTTGGAAGGCGTTCAGCGTGAGTTTAACTCAAGTCTGGTGCTCGTCGAGGCGTCCACCTGACATGATGCTAGTCCTAGTCTTGGTGGCGCTTCTGAGGTGATCGGGGAAAGAGAAGATGACGAAGGTCGTGCTGAATCGAAGGAAGGGGACCGTGCTGAAGCCGAGGATGAGGAGATCAAGGATCTTGAAGGGTGATTTATGTCGTAGGGTTGGTCGTCCTATTTTTTTGTACCCGTGCTTCAGGATTTATCTTAGGATGTTTAATATAATGTACCCTTGCTAGGGGTTTTATCGTGCATTTGTACCCGTGCTGCGGGGTTTTTTGGACTAGATTTTATTCGTGAGTGGAATTTTCCCATGCTGGGTTTTATAACTATGCATGTGATAGTGGTGCAGAGTTAGTCCCGGCTTTTAACTTAGTTCGAATATGAGCGTGCGAATAAAAATCGGCTTACATTGCATCATACGACTATCTTCATAAGTTTGAGTATTAACATGCGAACAGGTCGGCGTTCTGTTAATACGACTTAGAATTTTCTAGGTTCAAATGCAGGTGCGAGTCTGGGCCCGGCTTACTCCATACACGACCTAGAAAGTGTGAGTCTGGGCTCGGCTTTAAAGATTCCCGGGTTAAGTGGAACACACTTTTCCCTTCGATCTTTTAGGTGGTTTCCACCATATTGTTCAAAGAAGAACGCGCGCAAGACTAGACTTGGCTTTGGTTATTACCGAGTTAAGTTGATCAGACTTAACTATAGGCGTTATCGAATGTCTGGCCAAGACACCGAGGTATAGTAAAGCTCGGAAGCGATTGTATAGTAGTGAAGCACGGAGCTCAGGAACACAAGAATTTAAGTAAAATATGAAAATTTTATTAAGTTATAGCTGGACCTTTGCAGGTTGCCTACGTATCCAAAATGGGATCAAGCCATTCATAGTTCATATTACATAAGAGG